ATGGGGATGAACTTTGACAGTAATTAGACCATGATTTAGCTTAATTCATGTAGAAAATTAGTTAATTAGTTGCGTGAGATTTTGGAGAAAAATCCTGTGAATTAGCCATTGTTTTGCCCATTTATGGAAGTGCAGTTACTGTTCACTGCGTGATCACTGTTCATGGGCACTGTTCATGCACTAATGGCCAACGATTAATGGGGATTTAAATGTTTAATTTGTAATATAAGAACAAATTTGGAGATGTCTGGTAATGTGGAGATTGATAAAAATAGCATCGTGATTAGGGGTAGTCCTAATGATGATTTCAGTTTGAATTTATGGTAGTGCGGTTTTAATTCTGGAATATTTTGGCTAGGTTCTTGATTATTCTATCACCTTGGCTCTTGGAGTGAGTTTTCTGCTTTATGCGATTGAGGTAAGTAAATTTATGGTAATGTCCGTACAGTTTTTAAAAGCATGTTTTGACTTGTTTTTGAACTGGTGGCGGGACTAAACTCGTTTTACACAAGTATGATCGATTTAAAATGAAATTATTATTCTTTTTATTGAATTGAGTATGCCTACTTGAAATTTAATTGTTTATCCTGATGATCTGAAAGTGATTGGTGAATTATGGTTTTTCTCTTAACTTCTACCTGTTTTGTCTCCGATGTGGTCATGTTATTAGTGACCCTACTAGTGGGAGTTATAAACGTTAACACATGTCGACATGTTATTGATAGAACCGGTTCGTTCGACTGACCCTGCTAGTGGGGGTTATACACCAGCAAATAGTGTGTCTGCTAGTGGGTGATTTATAACATTGGCCATGACCTATAGAGGAGACGTCTATTTTGTTCCCGTACTGTATCTGTTTTTCGTGATTACACTTGTTGGCATGTTATAAGTTTAATTAAGGGCTATCCATATTTACTTACTGAGTTTATCTCATAGTTTTTCCTTGTCCACCATTTCAGAAAGCGAAATCGAGCACGGGGAAACCACGAGAAGTGATGAGTTAGAAGGCTAGCCATTTGGAGATTGATATAGATTTTAGAAATAAATCATGCTTTTGTAAGATAGATTTTACCTTGAATTTATGAGATCAAAACAGATTTCGGTCATTAGATCAATTACTTGGATTTAAGTCATTTTAGATATAGAAATAAATTGAAATATCTGATTTAAGTTATTGGATTATCATATGTGAATTGGATAAGTTCCGAGCCTTGTGCATTTGTGGGACCCTCTCACGAGTGCACGGCGTTTGTTACGCCTCGGATTTGGGTTCTGGGGTGTGACACGGTGCTAGGTTTGTAGAACTTCTAAAATGTCGTCGTCCACTTCTAAAATTGTCGCTGCCCACTTTTGAAAACAAATAGAAAGGGGCTTCCGTCTTGTAGTTGTCAGATTATTTGAATTGAGGGAATTTCACGATAAGTTTCCTAATTGTGTGCTAGTTTTGTTCTTAGATCTAATTTGATAATTAAGAATGTGAATTGAAAGAGGAATTGAGGGAATTTTTGGGACTCTATTTTCTGTTAAATTCGATTCTAACAAAGAAGATAGTACAAAAGTTTTAAATAATTCAAGAGGCTGTGTCAAGTGAAAAATTAATTAAGTAGTCAAGGTAAGTTGTTATACCCTCTAGTATTCTTTTAAAATGTTTGTTTTATTAAAATTTATTTTACATTTTCAGCATATTTTATATAATCTTATTTGGTTATTGTATTTTAAAAATAAGAATATTTTATAACGAAATGAGATGAATGTTGATCAAGCATTTTGAGTGTGGACTATTTTCTATCGAAGAGTGTGATTTATTAAATTGGAAATAATTTTCTTTTAATACTGGGTTTTCATGTTCTTGGTTGGCTGGTTAAATTAACCCGTTCTTTAAGGATATACTAAAGGTATTGATAGTAGTCCCGAGATCTATTTATCATGGAGTGTGATGCGGAGTGTGATGTTATATTTGGCGTGTAATGCAGCCTAAAGAACATGTATTTGTTGTTTTCTTTTTTATCTTGTTTGGAATGTGGTTTCCTCATTGTGAAGTTGTTTACTTTATTTAATTATTATTTTCATTGAAAAATAATGCTTGATCAAACTAGATAGGTATACTCTTACTGAGCTATCTAGCTTATGCTTCAAAATCTCATCTCATTTCAGGTATAAAAGAGAGGCGCAACGGTCCTAGAGTAGTTCCTTGGTTTAGTTTAAGTTCTTTTTGGATTTTGAAATATTTAGAAATGAAGACCTATTTTCTATGAGTTATTACCATGAGATTTTATGTTGGATTTTATGAAGTGAGGATTAGGTGTTTTGGATTTGACCAACTACTCGCATATGTTAATAAAGATGGAGTTTCTTATAGAATTTAACATTATTGCAGTTGGATATTAAAAGTTGTGTAGTTGAGGTAGCCTTACACATTTATGGGGTCATCCCTATAGATGTGTGGCATTTGTTATGTCTTGACCTTAGGGTTGGGGCATGACAGTTAGCTTATGTTTTGTTCTTTTATTTACCTCTTCAGTCTTCTTTTCTTAATTTCTCATCTCTTCTATTTTAGTTTTTGGTGAGTTTATGTTTTTGTTCATTTCAATTTTCATTCCAAATCTATACTCATTGAATTTTATTTTTCAATAGGCACATGCGGCTTGTCAAGAGGTATGTCATACTTACTTATACCTCTTCATTCGGGTTTCACTATTTTTTAAGTTTAATCTTTGAAATCTATTTTTCTTCTTTATTTCTTTTGATTGAATTTTTAAAATTTTAGTTATCCCTCAATTTCTTTCTATTGAATTGTAGGTTCCGGATGCTAATAGTGGGCAAGGCTTTTCCCCAAATAATCGTTCCTCTTCACAATCAAGCCATCACCTTTTGTCTCGCCAAAATGAAAGTAATGAAGAAAATGATGGGCAAAGGGATTGAAAGGCATGTTTGTGTCTCCCTACTTAACAATTTAAAGACTAATGACTTTCTAGTTTGATAGATGCATTTTCTTTTGGACAATTTTACAACTTTCGATGTGAGATACATGCTATTTTTTCAAAATGTTGATATGGATGGTAGCTCTTCTAAACTTAAGTTTGATTTTCAATATCTTTTGCCATTTAGTTTAACTTATCATGAAGTTTTACGTTGCTTTTCATTGAAAATTCGTTCAGATCTAGTGTTTCTGTTTTGTTTGTTGGTAATTTGATTTAGAGATTTGGAGATTAAGCTTTCTTTGGTGGATTTTTGAAGAGTTTTAGTTTCATCTTTCAGATCTGTTGTTGAGATGATTTCTGGGAATTTCAGTAGAATTTATGCTTAATTCAATAGGTATTTAATTAAAATTAGTAGGCAAAAATACTATGTAAAAATATAAATATTTTTTAGAATATACAGGTAGAAATATATTTGTGTATTGGTATCTCTTATTTTCTTTTACTTTTGTACTTTTCCAATCTTTGGAAACTTTCTCACTAATTATTAGATGATTGAAGTAATTGGTTTTATGGTAGAGAATACCTTGACATCTCCAACAGGGTTCAATAATTGCTCTATTGCTATTGAGTTTAATTAAGCAGACTTTTTCATTGATAATCACAACTCTTTAATTCTTTCTCTCAAACTTGATTAGGACTAGGTGATAGCTATTTGCAGGGAGAAGGAATTTAAGTCCATATTTGTTGTTTATGATTTGTGAGGTTTATCATCTTAGTTTCTTGGATCATCGGATTATTTTGTTTCTCATTAATCTGCAAGTTGGAAAACTCTTTTTACACCCAACTTGATTGTTGGTTTATGTTGTTTCTCGAATCCAGTAGTGTTGATACGGTTAAAATGAGATTTCCACTTAGCTGTGCATATTCATTTGGTGTTGTTCTTCTTATGCTTGGTTTTTATATGGTTCTTTTGTTGGATTAGGTGGCTCAAGAAATTTTTTTGAACTTGTTAAAAATATTTATCATGTTTTTGAATCTGTACATTTTTGAACTTAAGTTTAGATGGCAGTACGTAGAGATTGAGAAAAACCAATAGAAACTGTGATAAAATAGAAGGGATTAGTGAGCTTGAAATGACTAAAAGGAGGCTCTAACTATTTAAAGCCAAAACTATAGATACTAAGAATAGGCTGCAACAAAGGTTTCTTTTCTCTTTGAAGTGTATTCGTAAAGATTAGGTGATTCTTTGGTTTATTCGAAGGGGATTAGGATTGGCTTTGTCTTCGGTGTAGCCATAGGGATAAGAATTGCCTGAGTTGAGTCTAAAGTGAGGATAGGAACTTTTGTTTTTAGGTTTTAATCTATTAATGAGCTAGTTCTTTTCCAAAACAATATTTTATAGCTTGGCTTGTGCAAGCTTTTATCTTTTGTTTGTTTTTCATAGATTTGGGTTTGTGCACGTTTGTTGCTTTGTGTTTCGTGTTTTTCCACTTCATTTTCAAAGAAATTGAGAATTTTTTTTATTTTTTGGAATCTACTATTTGGGAATCTTTAATTTCTATATATGCTTATCAACTTCGAATGGATTTAGTGTTGGAGTTTATTTTTGATTTTGAGGGCTAGCTGCTAGGGTTCAAATATGTTTCCTTCTTCTTCTTTTTTTTTTTTTTTTGGTTTGCACTTTCCCATTTTGTAATAAGAAATGCATTTCTTTTATTTTTGGTTTGCACTTTCCCATTCTATAATAAGAAATGCGTTTCTTTTCTGCATCTTAGATCATTTTATAATCCTGCACTTTGAGCCAGTCATTGGCTGCATCTATCACCCTTATCTCATAATTTATTGCTTCTTCCTTTCTGCTTTTGTATTGGATTTAATATTGATGAATCTCACCATTATTTTACTCTCTAATGCCATTCACATTTTTTCTCTTAGCTAAATTTGATTGGATTATGGATAGACCTAGTATGTTTGTTGCCTTTCACAGCCATCTGCAGAATTTAATTATTTATTTAAATAAAAAAGAAAAGAAAAGATAATAGAAAAATATAATTCTCCTTCACCTCCTTTCTTGTTATTTCTCAACTAAATATAAATAAATTTGAGCTCATTTTAATAATTCATAAAAGCAATCAAATTTCTAGGATTAAAAAAAGCTAAAGAAAAAAACCGGCCATTGAGAGATTAATTCATAATGATTTTTGCCAAGATTTGTATGCAAGATTTGTTGTGGTTGTCTATGACTGTGATGTGAATTTTGTTGATTTCAAAATGATGATGAAAATGGTGAAACAAGAAGGCATAGTTAAGGAGTACATTGAGATATGCTTCTTGGGTTAGTATGACATGTTTGTTAGTATTAAGAAATGATGTGTTGAATTTGTTTCTCAATGGTTGAAAGATGATCTTAGAAATCTGGTGGTTTTAAAATGGACTCAAACACTTCAATTTGCTTATATGTTGACTAAATTTGAAGAGTTTTCCCTTAAGTACTCCTTACATAGCTTAATAAAGAGAAAAAAGAAATTGAGACAATGATGAGAACAAATCATAGATGCTTCAACTGATGTTCAATTGAAGCATATGACTTTGTACATATGACTTTGTCCAATTTCTTTTTACTTTTTTCTCTTGAATCACAATTGAAATTGACTTACAAATTACATTTAGATTTTTTTGATTCGATGATTATATTTCCCATCATAAAGTATACTCCCAGACCTAGATCTAAGGTTCGAATCCTTATTTTCCTAAAATTGTAATCCATTAAAAAAAAAAAAACAACCTAAAAATTGAGAATTGGATTGAAATTGTAAAATAAATTTAGATATTAAATTAGATGTTATTCCATAAATTTAAATGTTTAGAAAAAAAATTCATATAAATAAATAGACAACACTAGCAGTATAAAAGAATACTGATATAGAAGGTAGTGATATAAATAATTTTTTATACAATTTTTATGTATTATTAAATTAATAATTACAATCAATATAAAAAATTTTAAATAAATAAATAAATAAATTATTTAAATAAAATTTAATTATACAAAAATATTATCTCTTATATTTTTCACGAAAGAAACACACAGGAGCCTTTAAATTGTTAAACTACGCGAATAGTAAAAAAGCACACGGATTACTGACGTGGCGAAAAAAAGTTTTGAAATCCTGCCCAAGCATGGACTCTATTTTGTCCATTTATTTTTCCCCTTTGCCTATTTCACAATCTATACCACACGAAATTGAATTGTCTATTTCCTCTCTTTTTCACTCACGTCTCCTTGTCTTCCAAAAACCCTAACTCTCAGGTAATTTGCTACAACAACTCAGTCATGTTTGCACCATTCTGACCGATCTTTAAACGATTCTCATTGATTTTGACTGTTTTTCATGCAAGATTTGCCATGAAAGGTGATAGATCAAAGGTTGATTAAAAGAAAACTGACAATAAGTGAGTTTTATTCCTTGCTTTGCTTTGTTGTAGCTTCTAAGTCAATATTTTTTTTGATATCATAGCGATTGCGATTGCGATCTTAGACTGTCGTAGATTTAAGTGTTAGCTTTTTTGTTTACCAATGTGGTTTTTTTTCTTGTTTGGAAAATTTTTTTGGTATGTTGAAAAGCAACAGTGTAGTGGCTGGAAAAAAAAAAAAACTAAGAAGGCTGCGAAGGATCCAAACAAGCCGAAAATGTATAAGTAACATTGCAGGAGACTCATAATCTTTTGATTTTTTTTATTTTACTTAGATTTGTTTTGATTCATTACTTTTTTTTTTAATTTTACTTGTATTTGTTTTTGGGGACTCATAATCTTGTGAAGTGGAGTAGTTGATTTGGTTGATTGTTCTAACATTGTAGGAGACTAGTGCAATTTGTTTTTGGGGACTCTGTTTTACCTGATGAAAACAAAGTAAAATAGAGAGGACTTCAAGAAACAGTACAAAGACCATCCTAATAAACCAATCAATGGTTGAGTTAATTTTGATTAGGAGCATTAGTGAGCGATTAGCTTATGAGTAATTTATAAGTTATAAAAGTTAAACTTGACTTAAGTTCGACTCACTTTGTAAATTAGTCAAACTTGAACTCAAGAGTAAAAAAAAATAATAATAATAAATCTGGAAAATAATACAATTTTCTCTCCATTATAAAAAAATTGACAAATGGTATTTCTCAATATAGAAAAAAATAAGTGCAAAGAAAATTATAAATAAAATAAAATAAAATTGAACTATCAATTGTAAAAAAAAAAAAAAAAAAAGATCTATATTGATGGAAAAAGCTGTCAGTAGAGATCTTTGGCCTATAGGTGTATACAGACAGAAGTTTGAGTTTTTACCAATGAAATTACTTGTCTGTAATTATGAGGGTCTACAAAGATAGAAAAATTCTTAAGATTTCTTAGGGTTTATACTAATGGACAAGTCTTCCATCGGAATAGATCCTAAGAGTATATACCATCGGACAAAATCTTCCATCGGAATAGATCCAAGGGTCTATACAGATGGATTAACCGTTGGTATATACCCTATACTGATGAGGTTTCTACCGACTAAAAGTTGGTCCGTCAGAATAGTCCCTGGGGGTCATAGCAATGGAAAATGGGTCTATATAGACGGAAAACTTCCGTCAATATATGTACATCTCCTTGTAGTGTTAACTCATGGTTAAAGTGTATGTTTGGTCATTATCCAAAAGTAATTATTACAAATCGATGTAATACTATTAAAGCCGTAGTAGCAGAAGTATTTCCACATTCTCATCATCAATTTTGTATTTGGCATATTATGAGCAAGATTCTAGGAAAGCTTGGAGCATTAGCTAGACACAAAGAAGTGAAGAAAACTCTAAAAAATGCTGTTTATGAGTCCATTCAAGTTGGTGAATTTGAAGAAACATGTTGCAAAATGATTGAGCAGTATAATTTAGAAAAGAATGAGTGGTTGAATTCTTTATATGATATTCGACATTATTGGGTTTCAGTGTACATTAAAAATATCTTTTGGGTCGAAATGTCTAACACTCGAAGAAGTGAAAGTGTAAATGCATTTTTTGATGGTTATGTGGGTCATAGAACATCTTTGAAGCAATTTGTGGAGCAATATAATAATGCTTTGAAAAGTAAGATTGAACATGAGAATAAAGCAGATTTTGCTTCATTTAATTCTAGTTGTCCACTTATCATTGGGTATTATTTTGAGAAGCAATTTCAAGAGGCTTATACCAACAAGATTTTTAAATTGTTTCAAGATGAGATACAAGGCTTGGTTAATTGTAATTTAGTTTCTGATGCAGTTAATGGGTCATTATCAAAACTCCTTGTGAAAGACATTTTAGTAGGAAAAGACGACAAATTTAAAAAGAACGGGGTTTATGATGTTTATTTTAATGATGAATGTGATATTAAATGTTCTTGTTGTTTGTTTGAGTTCAAAGGGATTCTTTGTCGACATGTGATGAAGGTATTGATTGAGAAAAATGTGGAAAAGGTTCCATGTCGATATATCCTAGATCATTGGAGGAAGGATATCAAGCATACACACACTTTGATTAAGAATTGCTATTATGATTTCGAATTTGGTGAAAAGAAGTTGAGATATAATAAGTTGTGTTCTCAATTCTATCAAATTGCAGAAGTTGGAGCCGAATCAAGAGAAAACTTTGAATGTTTAGTTAATTATATGGATAAGGTGCTGGGAAAACTTATGAATTAACATGTTGAGAGCATTAATGATCATATAAACATGGAGCCTATGCTAAATAGTAATGAATATCAGCAAGTAACAACTTTTAGATTGCTATCTCCCTTACAATTACGAGCAAAAGGTCGTCCTCCATGAAAAAGAAAGCCATCTACTATAGAGAAAATTGTAGAGAAAAAGAAAAGAAGCAAGAAAAAAGTAATAGTTTGTTTATCTTAAACAACATGTACACTTGCAAATATATTTGTATTTTTACAATCTTTTGTTCATTTTTTAGGCCATCGAGGAGAATCAAAATGAGCAATATGAAACTAATTTGCAACCACCGAAAAGGAGAATGGTAATATTTTTTGAAAAGCATATTTTCATTACCATTGTTAAAGTGTAACCAGCAAAAAAGAGTGGCTGATTTTGATTTCTCATAGTACTTTAATAATATTAGTTTTTTTCAAAAGCACATTGTTATATTCTTGCATTTTCTACTTGTGTGGATTAGTTACACAAATATGGTATTTCTAGATTACTCATTTAGTGAAGGAATATACTAGCAAGACAACCTTAGCAATTGGAGATGGGGTAAATGATGTCAAAACAATTCAAGAAGCAGATATTGGAGTTGGGATAAGTGGCATTGAAGGAATGCAAGTAATTTATGGATGATCAGTTGGTGGGAAATTTTCTCTTTATATGCTAAACTTACATTTTGCTAGCTATTTATATGCCTTTTGCTACTTACAAAATATAATGTATACCAAAATGTAAATAGAAAAAGGAAAAACAAATATTAGAATTTGTTTTTTCATGTATCGATGATCCTTTGCAAGGTATCATGGCTAATGACTTATCACTGCCTCAGTTTTGAAAGAAAAATGTTTTAAATTTATAAGATTGTCTATGCAAAAATTTATGGCACTTTTTAGGTTTATGATGATGATTAAATTCTAAAAACTATTCTATTTATTGCTGAATTTTTTTAACTATTTCAGGGGAATCCAAATTATAATGGAGCAATTAACAATTTTGATCTCAATTTGGATTATATATCACAAGTTATATTCATTCTTACTTTTTTTAGTATTGGTAATTTCAAATTTTTGATTGTATATTTGTAGTTTATCTATTTGATTTATTCATTTCTTCATTTGTAGAATTATGAGAAGTCTATAACAGATTCCATACTTGATGGTTCCTTTCTAGTTGAGGAATAATGTAATATAGATTGTACCTGATGGGAATCAAGACGACAGCATATCTACCACGTCATGTGATCCATTACACACCCAAGGAGGTCCAGTCACGCGAGCTAGAGCTAAGAAGATGCGTGAAGCTTTAAATGGCCTTATTGAGTAGATCTGGGTTGAAAACAACATACAACAAACAAATCGAAGCTTGGATGATTATTAAGGCATGATAAACATCATTCAGGTTCAAGAGAAGATCAATTGAGGTCATTTATACTAAATTACACAATTTGCATCAATCTCACAATTCTGTTGCAATTTGTAACAAACTGATATTTTATGTTACTTTAGGCTACTTTTAGTGACTTTCACGTTTTTTATATTATTTTGAGCTGAACATTCATTTATTTAGGGCTCAATTCATGGTTATTAGGTTTAGGACTTAGGGTGTTAGTTTCCTATACGGATTAGGATTTGTTTTCGCTATTTAAAAGGCTTGTAACCCTAATGGGGAGGAGGCTATTGAATTTGAGATTTTGAGGGACTTTTCTCTTTGGTTCGTTTCAGAACTTTACAGAACTTATCAAGATTATTCTTGTAGCATTCTAACCTGACTTATCATTCTCGTTCTTAATCGTTCGAGGGTGTGGCGTCAACCAACTTTATACCTCTGGTTCTTGTTGTGTCATAGACAACGGGTCAAGGTTTTTACCTTTGGTTCTTGTTGCGACATAAACAATGAGTCAAGGTCCTATTATAAAC